CGGTCTCCCAATTGAGAACCAAATGGCCAACTGACAATTACCTGACATTCATCCCCCTTTTCTCGTTATCTCTTTTACCAATAAATACGGGAGAGTTGTGTAAAGCTCAGGGCCCTTGACCACTAGAGACAAAGTGCCCCCTGACCGCTTCTTCCAAATATACTCTTTTGTCTCTTGTTTTTTATTCCCTTTGTTCTGTCCACCAGGTCCGTGTAGGTTAAAAGTGGCGCCCCGGACAGCGACAGAATCGGATGCTCTACAAGACTTTATCAAACTCCTCCTTGTTCTACAGACTAGTAATGACTAGGACTAGGAATGACTTTGCCCTATACCAACAAGGCAGCCTCCAGGACAAAAGGTAATGGAACCCATTCTGTTGACAGCCAAGATGGAATTACAGGTAATTCTCACCTCTTTTTTGGCTCTCAGGAGCCCTGTGGCCATTTTCCTGGTCTCCTGCGTGCTCTTCCTGGAGAAGGGCAAAGTCTCAGAAGACAGATCTGGGGATGTGAAGAGAAATAAAAGAGTGGCCTAGGTGGAAACTGCCTCCCCATGAGATGAAGCGCAGACCGCTCCAGAGCCCCATAGTTGGGGTCGGGGATGTCACAGAAATCACCGGGGCAGCCAATTCCCATCCAGAGGGGGCCCAGGATGACCCAACACCCTCAAGCTCAGCCGCAAGCTCGGGCCAGGGAGTGAAGCCCTTGTCCCCAAACAACAGAGTGAGGGTTTGTCTCTAACCCTGTGGACTCCAATGAAAAGAAAATGGCCTGGAGGTGCCCACAGGAGAGCGTCCGAGTTCTGAGCCAGCTCTGTGGCTCCCAGCCTGCGTCCCCATGAGTAACACAGGGACACGCAGAGGGGCATGCTGCCTGCCTATAGGGCACTCACGGAACGCGGGTGCACGCTGCAGATCCTGAAGCCGAAAGTCAGGTAACAAGGTGCAGATGGGTGGGAGAGACCTGAAGCGGGAGGCCTTCCCGGATCCCAAAAAGCCTAACGCGCCGGGCCCACCGACCGGACGGGCTTCTGACGTCAACGCTACACACTGAAGGAGGATAAGGAGGGGGCGGAAGTGACCGCAGAGGCCTCTGGGGATTGTAGTTTCGAAGCTAGAGAGGCGCCGGCCACCACACCCAGCTAGGTAATTTTTTGTATTTTTTTAGTAGAAACGGGGTTTCACCGGGTTAGCCAGGATGGTCTCGATCTCCTGACCTCGTGATCCGCCCGTCTCGAACTCCCAAAGTGCTGGGATTACAGGCTTGAGCCACCACGCCCGGCCCTAATCACCTCTTAAAGGCTGCACTGGTCATCGCTGCTGCATTAGGGGTTGAGTTTCCCACGCATGAACTTCGGGGAACACACTCAAACCACAGCAGTCCTCATGGAAACCTTCCAGAAAATCTGTGTGCCTGGCACTCCGGAATCCCTCTTTTCCACCCCTTCTCCCTGCAGCTCTAACATCGTGTCCCTTCATTATTTTCCATCTGAGCATAGGAAAGAACACTTTCCTACATTACACTTTACATTCCTGCATTACACATTACACAAAGAACACTACACCCATTTCTTATGAATCTTTCCTACACTAAAATAATTCCATCACTCAGATAGAAATTTGCAAAAATAAATTTTCATTTTTGACATGAGAATATAATTTAATGGAAACCCTAAAATACACAGAAAATAAAAATAATCACCAAAAATGTTCCATGAATCAAAGCAACACATATAGTGAGATCTTATATCCTAAAATATATAGACCTAAATATGTTATTTTAAAAATCGAGGAAGAAACACAAGGAACTCTATACACACCTTTAAAAATATGCTGTCTAGCCGGGCGCGGTGGCTCACGCCTGTAATCCCAGCACTTTGGGAGGCCGAGGCGGGCGGATCACAAGGTCAGCAGATCGAGACCACGGTGAAACCCCGTCTCTAGTAAAAATACAAAAAATTAGCCGGGCGCGGTTGTGGGCGCCTGTAGTCCCAGCTACTCGGGAGGCTGAGGCAGGAGAATGGCGTGAACCTGGGAGGCGGAGCTTGCAGTGAGCCGAGATCACGCCACTGCACTCCAGCCTGGGCGACAGAGCGACACTCCGTCTCAAAAAAAAAAAAAAAAAAAAAATGCTGTCTAGTTTAATTCTAGAATTAATTTGGAATTCTGTTAAGAAAGATATATTTTAATAGGAAAAGTAAGTCATTAATGTATCAAAGAAAACAATCATTCTTGTATTGCAAATAAATGCCCAACCAAGACAAAAAGGCACGTCACATCTTATGGGAAAAGATGGAAATGAGGGTGAGAGGAAAACTGTGACCCTTGAATGTAAGACAGAAAAAAGTCAGGGCAGGATGTTAAGGAATTGGAAATGATTCTCCAAATTAAAGGAATATGAGACAGAAAGAGGAGAGAGGGAGGCAATAGTCTCCCTCCAGGGGTGTGGGGGTATCTCCCTTTCAAAGGGCTGTTTCCTGTATTAACTGACTCCCCATTAAGAAAATATATATATACTGACAAATTATATTGTACCCCATAAATTGTATATGTTTGTTCAAAAATATTTCGAAGAATTTTTTTTGGCTGATTTTTATCTATCTTCTAAATTGTATATATTTATGGGGTACAAAATGATGGTATGATTTTTCATTACAGTGTGGAATGATGAAATCAAATTAACCTACCCATTACCTCAAATACTTGACCTTTTTTTTGTGATGAGAATGCTATTTATCACTTTCATCATCACCTGCTGATGACATCCATGCTAGGGACAGGAAAGGCTCCACACTCCCAACAGACTCCCTCCAATAGACACTGGGGATGTGAAAGTAGATGGGAATAAAGGAGGAAGAGAGAGCAGTGGGGATGTACATAAAATCACCCTCCAGAGCTGTGCTGTCCAATAAGGCAGCCACTTGACACATGCGGCTGCTGAGCACTTGAAAGACTGCTAAGGCCAGGAGCGGTGCCTCATACCTATCATCCCAGCACTTTGGGAGGCCAAGCCAGATGGATCACTTGACGTCAGGAGTTCGAGACCAGCCTGGACAACATGGTGAAACCCTATCTATACAAAAAATACAAAAATTAGCCGAGTATGGTGGCGAGCACCTGTAGTCCCAGCTACTAGGGAAGCTGAGGTGGGAGAATCACTGGAACCTGGGAGGCGGAGGTTGCAGTGAGACGAGATCATACCACTCACTGCACTCCAGCCGGGGCAACAGAGTGAGACCCTATCACCCTATCTTAAAAAAAAAAAAAAAGGTCTGGGCACGGTGGCTCACACCTGTAATCCCAGCACTTTGGGAGGCCAAGGCAGGTGGATCAGCTCGGCCTCCCAAAGTGCTGGGATTACAGGCGTGAGCCACCACACCCAGCCTCTTTTTAACTTTTCTACAGTGACTACTAGAAAATCTAAAATGACGTATGTGTCTGGCATTGTATTTCTACTGGAAACCACTGCTCTAGATAGAAATGGTCTCTGGGGAGGCAGAAATACGAGAACCACAAGAGAGGTGGATGGAGGGAAGTGACAGACACATCTGGTGGGTACCTTCAGGTGCTGACAGCGGGAACCCAGGAGATTCGGGTGTGGACAGGCCCCATCTATGCACAGCAGGAGAGGAGCATGGCTGACACTAGGGGTGCTGAGCTGACATACAGAACTATTCAGCTTTATAAACATGTGAAAAACATACCGCTAAGTCACTGACAACCCACAGAACAAATCGTAACAGAAATGAGAAATACACTTAGGAACAAATGAAATGCTATATAAATATCCAGTATGAAAACTGGCTGGCTTAAGAAACAAGCCTTTTCTCTCCAATACAAGTTCAAATTATAAGAGAAATGAGGGCCCAAATCAAAAACCCAAGATTGCTGTGATGCTTCATTTTGAAGCAGGAACCTCATTGTCATGCTGGGTTTGAAGGTGCCCTCTACTGTCCCCTCTATTCTTTGCCCTTTTTGATGAAAAGTTGCCTTTCTTGTTAAGTTAGAAATCCGTAGCAGAGAGAAGACTGAGGAAAAACCAAATTTGGGTATTTAAGAAAGTAAAGTTCAAAATGGCCTGCTAAAGAGAATGAATCTTGATGGAAAATATAAAATACTTCTTTACAAACATTAAAGAAAATTCTAACAACCAAAATGTTTGGAATTAGGGTAACTGAAATGGCAGTTTAATCCTCCTGAAGGAATTTTAATTTATCACTAACAGTACTTTAAAGCTAGGGGTAGAAAATTATTTTTATAGCTTTTCGCAAGCATTAAAGCTAAAAATCCAAATTCAGGTCTGTCTCTGATGGGAACGCCTCCTAAAAACAGAAGAAGCCTATAGGACTTTAGCCTGGAAACTACTCAGGGAATCTGGAATATTTCCTCAGGGGTTATCTACAATTGAAACCTGGCAGTAATTAAAAAAACAAAACAAAACAAAACAAAAAAAAACAGATAACCTTGGGATACGGCTGGAGGTCTACAGGTGGGTCATTTTATATCCTGAAGTCTAAACAAGATGATTATGGCCCCTTCAAATGATGTAAACAAAAGGAGAATAAATTGGAAGAGAGCACAGATGAGTGGTTTACAGGGAGTACCTGCTTTTTTTCTTCTGGTTTTCAGGTCTCCTTGTTGCTGAGGGATCCAGCCCCAGCTCTAGACCAAGAAATGGGAAGATTTTAGAGTGACTAGTGATCTATCATCTACAATTATTAAACATTCTCAGCAGTTTATGCAAAAGATAACAAAACCACTGCAGATAACTAAGACTAGGTAATACATATCTGTTTCCCAAATACCTACCCACAAGCTGAACGATTTTTTTTTTTTTTGAGACAGAATCTTGCTACGTTGCCCGCGCTGGAGTGCAACGGCAAGATCTCAGCTCACTGAAATCGCTACCTCCTGGGTTCAAGCGATTCTCCTGCCTCAGCCTCCCAAGTAGCTGGGATTACAGGTATGCGCCACCACACCTGGCTAATTTTTGTATTTTTAGTAGAGATGGGGTTTTGCCATATTGGCCAGCCTAGTCTCAAACTCCTGACCTCAGGTTATACACCCACCTCAGCCTCCCAAAGTGCTGGGATTACAGGCGTGAGCCACCGGGCCCGGCCAAGCTGAACGGTTCTAAGATGCTGGGATCATTGCCTCTATTACCACCACGACATCAGGTCACAACCAAACCATCAAGCATGAAACAGACAGAATGTTTCCACTCCTAATCCACTGTGTGGAAAAGCCCAGAGCTTACCCATTGGGGTGCTGCATCAGAAGAGGCGCACATGCACCAGGGTGTGTGTTTGAATGGAGGTATCAAAGTTGCATCCCCATAGCTCCTCTGTTCACGGGCACTGCAGTCTGTGGCCTCATGTCCTTTGGGGGACATAGTGGGAAGGTAACCCACGTGCCAGTGGAAAGAGACACTGTGGGACTTTGCCCTGATTTCTCAGGGGCCTTTTCTCTTTTCCCTTTGGGTTATGTGTAGACTTCCCCACTGTCCACCTGACCACTCTCGTGCAGCCCAAAACCATAGCCTAAGTCATCAGCTAGGCCTTTCTTGGTGTAACTACTGAAAGGCGAGTCTTACCTGTTCAACCTCTAGAGAGATTCATCCAAAATCTGGACCTACAAGAATAAAAAAACAAGATTTGCCTGAGTATGTTTGGCCTCTCCCTTCTGTGGGACCCCCTTAAGAACCATCAGCCCCTCTTTGCTCAACAACTCCTTGTGACCCTCCTTCAGGATCACAGGGCAAATCCCACTGGCTCCACACACTATAGCCCAGTACAGACACACAGAGAAAAAGACCCAAGAGAACCCACTTTAATACAAAGTCAGGGAGGGGTGTCCACCATGAAATGTTCAAGCTTGCAGTGGGTGGCAGAGGTAGTGCGTCCTGAGACTCCAGATCCTAGTGGAGGTGGGAGGCGGACATTAGGCTTTGAGGAGACGTGTAGGCCAAATTACATCTGTGCAAACTCACGCACAATGAAATTTACACCAGATCGGGTGAGGTGGTTTAGAAATGACAGAAAGCAGAGGAAGAGGCTGACAATATGGGCTTCTCTATAAAGCATGAGGACAGTAAATGACAGCAACAGTCCCGGAAGTGTTTATAGCACATTCCTTCAATTAACAGGGCAGTTAGAGCAGCAAGGACCAGATGGGGGCCAGGCACTTCCCCTGGGGCAACCGATGTAAACTTGGAAATCAGTCTCCCTTGGTGTCACCATTTTTCTCACGATGAATTAAATATACAGAGAAGTTCACTGATGGGTTTGGCATCAGAAAGCTGATAAAGGCTGGCTCTGAACCTAAACAGCGGCTGTTGGTTTCCCAGGCATATACCGAACGCTCATTGACTAAAAATCACCCTCATTTGATAAGCGCAAAGAAACTCACATTCCACATCCAAGTTATCCATTCTGGTGGGTATTTGCTCTGTAAATTACATACGACAGAAGAAAAAGAAAATGAAAACTCAGGAAAGTAAACACACTTCTAAACTCATGAATGGTAAAATACAGGAATACAATCCCCTTGAGAATTCATCAGAATATCCAAAGAAAATGCAATATATATGAGGGTAAAAAGGCCATTTGGCAAAGCCTGAAAAGTGAGTCAAAAATCTGGTTTACAAGGATTTGTAAAAACATACGTATATACGTACGTGTATATATATATGTATATATATGTATATATGTGTGTCTGTGTGTGTGTGTGTGTATATATATATTTTTTAGACTGAATCTCGCTCTATGCCCAGGCTGGAGTGCAGTGGCACAATCTCAGCTCGGCTCACTGCAACCTCCGCCTCCCAGGTTCAAGCAATTCTCCTGCCTCAGCCTCTTAAGTAGCTAGGATTACAGGCGCCCGCCACCACGCCCGGCTGATTTTTGTATTTTCAGTAGAGACAGGGTTTCACCAAGTTGGCCAGGCTAGTCTTGAACACCTGACCTCAAGTGATCCACCCGCCTAGGCCTCCCAAAGTGCTAGGATTACAGGTGTGAGCCACCGCGCTCAACCCACCAAGATTTTAAAGGAGTTAAGAAGACAGAATCATTACCGTTATAAAAAAAATCAAAACCCACTTTGGGATGCCGAGGCGGGCGAACCACGAGGTCACGAGATCAAGATCATCCTGGCCAACATGGTGAAACCCCATCTCTACTAAAAATACAAAAGTTAGCTGGGTGTGGTGGCACGCGCCTATAATCCCACCTACTCAGGAGGCTGAGGTAGGAGAATCACGTGAATCCGGGAGGTAGAGGTTGCAGTGAGCCGAGATCATGCCACTGCACTCCAGACTGGCAACAGAGCCAGACTCCGTCTCAAAAAAAAAAAAAAAAAAAAAAAAAAAATCAAAACTAGGATTATATTTCATAAAGGAAATCCCAATACCTCCTTAGCTGGCTGTTTCTTTCACAAAAGTTACTCTATATATTATACGTGCCCCAAAAATAAGATTTTAAAGAAATTGGGGGAGAAACTGCTACTGAGGTACCAAAACCAGGAATTTAATTCCTTTAAAACAATTCCAAAGTAACTTGCTATGCCTTTCACAGAAACAGAAACGTCTCAAAATAAGTGTTTTATTAAGCCTGAGAAGTTGCTGTTGTTAGGACAATCAAAACTAAAAATTGGTTTATTTAGTAACAACAACAACAACAAAAAGCCATTTTAACTGGCTGTCCTTATCGAACACATCCTACTAAATAATACAACTGGCAAAAAGTGGGAAATTTTAAAGGTCGGGGAGCCATATTATAAACATAATCTAAACCAGGAGTTTATTTTATTTAATAAACCTAAACCCGGCAGTCACTCCCTCCCCTCGGGGCATTCTGCAACAAAACACCTGCTGAAAAATAAAAGGATGTTTTACCTGAGTGGGCTGAAAAGTCCCCGTTTTTATACCTTTAATCTCTAGATCCTATGGGTCAGAGGTCGTGAAACTACATCAGCCCCAGTCCGGGCGCCCATGAGACCTGTGGACGGCCAGGGAAGGGCCTGGACGCAGCCTGGGCCCCAGTTTCTGCCGTGGCGATGGCCGACTGAAGGCCAGGACTCCCCGACGCTGACCCTCCAGCGTCCCATGTTTGGCAGACGCTCGGCCGCACACCCCAAAGTTGCTGAGCCACGATTCCCGCTGTGCGCCTGGATGGCGCCTGCAGACCCAGCGTGCGCTGGGCTCCTGGATACTTGGGGGCGGGCTTCCGAAAACGGTGACCAATGGGAAACGCGACCAGTTGTTAATAGGCAGACAGTCTGTATCCAGGCAACACAGAAAGAAGGGAAAGTGGCAGTCACACTTAAGTAGACAGATCTTTTAGCCAATGGACGTGCAAGATAGGGGAGGTTTGCTCCATATTGGGCATTAAGAAGCGCTTGGGCCGACCCGCCTCCAAGTCCTGGGAGGACAGTTCAAATTATGGAGGAGGGGGCAGGTGCTAGGCAGCAGTGGCAAGGGGAGTAGCGGGGAGTAGGGGAAGCACGAGATCATGTACCTTTGCCGCTCAGATTACCAAGCCTGTGACTGAGAATCGGTGTCTTCCTTGCAAGGTTTCAATCTGAGGCTCTTGGGAAGAGGGCAGAGTTGGAGACTGATGGAAGCGCGGTGGGGAGAGGAGCGGGTGAAGGGAGAGTGGAGAATGTGTCAGGCGGTGTCTTTATTCCTGGCACCTCACTTAGCCTGCTCGAGTTTCTCAATCTATTCCAGGAGCACTCTCTTGACCCTGCAGGGGCCTGAAAGGGAATGTTGGTCGCCAGTGTCTGCTTTCTTGGACTGGATTGGAATTGGTCCCACGAATTTAGGCATTATGATACATTGCTGCTTTTAGACTCACTTGGTTTTTACATTGTGCTTTTCCTCTTTCCCTTCAGGAATTTAAAATGTTCTCTTTGCTTTATCTATTTAATTATATATGATTGCCTTGAAGATTTCGGCTTGAATTAAAATTACATATATGTTTTTTGCCTGTCTTTATTATTAAAAAATAATAAAATAACACATGTTCATAATGAAAATGAAATATTACAAATAAATATAAAGGAAAGGCATTATTCCCCCTCCAGTTCCACTCTTGAAATAACGAGTTAACAAGATGATGAGCATCTTCCCATGATATTCTCCACGATTCATGTATTTGCACACACACAGAAGCATATACAGTAGTCCCCCTTTATCCATGGTTCTACTTGCCACAGTTTCAGTTACCCACAGTAAATTGTCGTCTGAAAATATTAAATGCAAGATTCCCGAAAGAAACAGTTCATAAGCTTTAAATTGTGGGCTGTTCTGAGTAGCCTGATGAGATATCTCACTGTCCTGCTTTGTTCTGCCTGGGATATGAACAATCCCTTTGTTCAGCAGATGCATGCTGTATGCGCTACCCATAGTCGGTGAGTAGCCAACTTGGTTATCAGAATGACTGCCGCAGTATCACAGTGCTTGTGTTTAAGTGACTCTGATTTTTACCTAATGATGGCCCTAAAATGCAAGAGTAGTGATGCTGCCAATTTAGATATGCAGAACAGGAGCCCTAAAGTGTTTTCTTTAAGTCAAAATGTGAAAATTCTTGACTGAATAAGGAAAATAAGTCGTGTGCTGAGGTTGCTAAGATCTATGGTAAGAACAAATCTTCTAGGTGTGACAGTGTAAGGAGGAAAAATAAATTTCTGCTAGTCTTGTTCGTTGAACACCAAGCTCAAGGTACAGCCACATGTGTGGTAAGTGCTTAGTTAAGATTAAAAAAAAAATTAAATTTGTGCTTGGAAAACAAGCAGAAGTGTGTTCTGATTGACAGCAATTGGGTCAATACTATCCACACTTTCAGACATCCACTACGGGTCTTAGAACACATCTCCTGCAGGTAAGCAAGGGCTACTATGTAACGTTTCCTTTTTTATTATAAAGCATTTTCCTTTTTTAATGTAACAATTTGCCTCAGATACCACTTCGGGTACAAAGATATTAGGATACCTTTATAGAAGATAAGGAGTTAACTCATTCTTTCTAAGAGTTAAAAGTATCTTCCAGTATCTTCCATTATATGAGTATTTAAGATGTTAAAGTACTTTTGCACCAAAAATAATGCTAATTTTTTTTTTTTTTTTTTTTTTTTTTTTTTTTTTTTTGAGATGGAGTTTCACTCTTATACCCCAGGCTGGAGTCCAATGGTATGATCTTGGCTCACTGCAAACTCCGCCTCCCCGGTTCAAGCAATTCTCTTGCCTTAGCCTCCCAAGTAGCTGGGCTTACAAGTGTGTGCCACCACGCCCCGCTAATTTTTGTATTTTTAGTAGAGACGGGGTTTCACCATGTTGGCCAGGCTGGTCTCAAACTCCTGACCTCAAGAGATCCACCCACCTCAGCATCCCAAAGTGCTGGAATTACAGACGTCAACCACCACGCCTGGCCTGTAAATATTATTTTACTTACATGAGTTTTTACTTCTGCTGGGACAAATTGCACGAGTAAACAAATATATGTGTATGTAATGTAATATATGTGTATATATAATTATATATGTGAATATACAACTTAATATATACATGTACATAAAATAACATACACAATTTAACATATACACAAATATAGGCTGGGTGCAGTGAGTCACTCCTATAATCCTAGCACTTTGGGAGGCCAAGGCAGGGGATTGCTTGAACCCAGGAGTTTGAGACCAGCCTAGGCAACATAGTGAAACCCCATCTGTACAAAAAACACAAAAATTAGCTGGGTGTGGTGGCATGCACCTGTAATCCTAGCTACTTGGGACGCTGAAGTGGGAGAATCATTTGAGCCCAACAGGCAGACTTTGCAGTTAGCCGAGATCATGCCACTGTATTCCAGCCTGGGTGACACAGTGAGACTCCATCTCAAACAAAAAGTCAAAAACAAGTGATGCTGGTGAGGCTGTGGAGAAAAGAGAATGCTTATACACTGTTGATGAGAGCGTAAAATAGTCCAGCCAGTGTGAAAAGCAGCCTGGAGATTTCTCAAAGAACTTAAAACAGAGCTACCATTTGACCCAGCAATCCCATTACTGTGATCTACCCAAAAGAAAATAAATCATTCTACCAAAAAGACAAATGCACTTGTATGTTTATCGCAGCACTCTTCACAATAGCAATGATATGGAATCAACCCAGGTGCCCGTCAATGGTAGACTGGATAAAGAAAACGTGGTACATCAAACTTATCCAACCCACGCCCCATAGGCTGCACGTGGCCCAGGATGGCTTTGAATGCAGCCCCGCAATCCACCCTCATCCAAAATGCACAGCAATGATTGGACATGTTGGCTATATTTTAAAGACCCTTCAACTAGGAAGTAAAGGGTATAAATGAATGAACAGTGATACTACAGCAGATAGGATAATAGTCCAAGTTTATTTATAAAATATATCCCATTCTGTCAAATACTGCTAAAAAAAGGAAGGGTTCATCTAGAAGATGTTGAGGTTAGATCATACATTTTCATTGACAGAACTTCAGTTATTTGAACTTTAGCAATCTCATGTGAATTATATTGTATTGTATTCCAAAAATCCCATGCTATCCACATCTATTTGGTTCCTGAGTTTAGATACTAAGAAATACTGTTATCTAAATCAATTTGATTTTTAAGTTTCAGAAAGTAGAAAGTTTATCAGAATTGGTTTTTCCTAAATTCATGTGACAAATACTTATTTTCAATGGGTTACTAGATTTGATTTGCTAATTTATAATGTTGTATTTTCATAACTGTTTCTGGACAAATTGTTTTGGGTTCTTCTATAGGTTTTAACATCAGGATTATGACAAATTTATAAAAATAGATAATTTGCTATCTCAGTCTATGTCCTGGAAGAGTTTCCCAAGACATTTCATAGATTTCACTTATAAAAATCACTACCTTGGTGTCTTTTTTAGTGCAGCAATTTGACATTTAAAATATATTTTAAGGCCGGGCGCGGTGGCTCAAGCCTGTAATCCCAGCACTTTGGGAGGCCGAGACGGGCGGATCACGAGGTCAGGAGATCGAGACCATCCCGGCTAACACGGTGAAACCCCGTCTCTACTAAAAAGTACAAAATACTAGCCGGGCGAGGTGGCGAGCGCCTGTAGTCCCAGCTACTCGGGAGGCTGAGCCAGGAGAATGGCGTAAACCCGGGAGGCGGAGCTTGCAGTGAGCAGAGATCCGGCCACCGCACTCCAGCCTGGGTGACAGAGCCAGACTCCGTCTCAAAAAAAAAAAAAAAATATATATATATATATATTTTTTAAGAAAATTTTTATTTTATTTATTTTTGAGACAGAGTTTCACTCTTGTTGCCCAGGCTGGAGTGCAGTGGCGCGATGCCTGCTCACCACAATCTCTGCCTCCCGGGTTCAAGCCTTTCTCCTGCCTCAGCCTCCCGAGTAGCTGGGATTACAGGCATAAGCCACCACACCCGGCTAATTTTTTGTATTTTTGTAGAGATGAGGTTTCTCCATGTTGGTCAGGCTGGTCTCAAATCCCCGACCTCAGGTGATCCGCCCGCCTAGGCCTCACAAAATGCTGGGATTACATGTGTGAGCCACTGTGCCTGGCCGGTCTTATTTTTTAAATAAGTTTATTCTGGAGAGAAGTCTATTAAGATTTTATACCTCCAGTTAATTCTGATGTCATCAACTTACTAAAAATCACAGACATTTTCCAGATTTTCAGATATATTATAAAAATGTCTATAATACTAACTTTTAAGTTTGTTGTTTTTAATTTTTTTTTTTTTTTGGTAGAGATGCGGGGAGGGGGGTCTCACTATGTTACCTAGACTGGTCTTGAACTCCTGGCCTCAAGCCATTCTCCTACCTCAGCCTCCCAAAGTGGTGGAATTACAGGCATGAGCCACTGCACCCAGCCTTAAGTTTTTAAATTGAGATCAAATTCACACAGCATAATATTCACCCTTTTAAAGTGTATAGTTGAGTGACCTGTAGTATATAAACAAAATTGTACAATCTTTACCCATTCCACATTTTCATTACCCCAAATGATACAGCTCTTTTAAGTTTAAATATATAGTCATTTCAATTTCTCATATACAATATTGTTTGTCATCCTTATTTCACCTCTGGAATCATTAAAGTTTGTCTCCTTTTTTTTCTCTTCCATCAAATATCAAATTTTGGATTGAGATCCAGTTTTTTTCTTTCAATTATTTCTGCCTTTTAAAATAATACTACCTCCTTCCTCCCACAATTCATTTCAGCTTGTTTTAGTTTCTTGGGTTCTGTATTTTATTTATTCTTCCTAGAATACAATATATGCATGAACATTAGGTTATAAAACTTCCAATACAACTTTTACTGCCACTCGCAGGTTTTTCAATTGTTTTCATTTTCGTGTACATTTAAATAATGTATATTTTAGGGATTTATTCCTTAATCCATGTTAATTAAGAGGGAATATTGAATTAATAATCAGATATTTGATGGCTATCCTATTGTACTGCTTCTTCTGGTCAAATAATGTGGCCAGTATGTTTTCTGCGTTTTGGGGGGAAATATTAGAAAAAATGTTATAATCTCTTCCTGCTTTTTTTGACAGCTGTGCTTTCTACTACTCATCATATTTACAGGGTTTCAGACTGGTATGCTTTTATTTATGTATTTTGAGACACAGTCTCGCTCAGTCACCTAGTCTGGAGTGTGCAGTGGCGCAATCTCAGCTCACTGTAACCTCTAACTACCAGGTTCGAGCAATCCTCCCACTTCAGCCTGCTGAGTAGCTAGGATTACAGGTGTGCAACACCATGCCTGGCTAATTTTTTTTTTTGTATTTCTAGTAGAGACGGGGTTTCACCATGTTGGCCAGGCTGGTCTCGAACTCCTGACCTCAAGTGATCCACCCACCTTGGCCTCCCAAAGTGCTAGGATTACAGGTGTGAGCCACCATGCCCGGCCTCAGACTGGTATTCTTTATGTAAAGATGAAGTCTGAGAAAAGACTATGCACACATACTTTTTCTCTTCCTTTTAAAATTCCATGCTAAATAATAATGATGGGGAAAGTCTTCGTTATACTCATTACAAGTGTTTCTCTTTTTCCATCATGAATTATAAATTTCCCAAAGGTAAACAACATGGTTAAAATCCTTTCCATAAATCCTAATGAAGATACTTATGATAATGAATATATCACTGATAATAATGGAAAACTTTTACTAAACCTATATTATGTGATAACAGTTTGAGGTACTTTACATTTATTAATTCATTGACTCTTCACAGCAATCCAATACATACAGCCTGATTATATATACCTAGACATAATTTTTTAAAACACCACTAATGGCCAGGCACAGTGGCTCACGCCTGTAATCCCAGCACTTTGGGAAGCCAAGGCGGGAGGATCATGAGGTCAGGAGTTCGAGAGCAGCCTGGTCAATATGGTGAAACCCTGTCTCTACTAATAATACAAAAATTAGCTGGGCATGGTGGCGCACGCCTGTAATCCCAGCTACTCGGAAGGCTGAGGCAGAAGACTCACTTGAACTTGGGAGGCAGAGGTTGCAGTGAGCCGAGATTGCGCCACTGCCCTCCAGCCTGAGCAACAGAGTGAGACTTGGTCTCAAAAAACAGAACACCACTAATATCTTTAAGAAAAAATAATTGTCCGGACGTGGTGGCTCATGCCTGTAATCCCAGAACTTTGGGAGGCCGAGGCGGGTGTATCACGAGGTCAGGAGTTCGAGACCAGCCTGGCCAACGTAGTGAAACCCTGTCTCTACTAAAATTACAAAACTTAGCCAGGCATGGTTGCATGTGCCTGTAGTCTCAGCTACTAGGGAGGCTGAGGCAGGAGAATCACTTGAACCCAGGAGGCAGCAGTTGTGGTGAGCCGAGATCATGCCACTGCACTCCAGCCTGGACAACAGAGTGAGACTCTGTCTCAAAAAAAAAAAAAAAAAAAAAAGAGAAGAAAAACAACAACAACAAAAATTAATACCTGGATTGATAAACACCACTTTCATAACAGTGTCACTTTCTAGTATGGCATTGGGATTAGGACTGATGGAAAGGAACAAAACAAGCTCACAAGGAGAAAATGTGGATAATTTTGGCAATTAAAATAAATGTTTTAAAAGTAAAAATGAGCATCCAATGAGGTCAGTTTTTTTTTTTTTTTTAACAGAATCTCACTCTGTCCTCCAGGCTGGAGTGCAGAGGCACCATCTCAGCTCACTGCAACCTCCACCTCCCAGGTTCAAGCGATTCTCCTGTCTCAGCCTCCCAAGTAGCTGGGATTACAGGCGCATGCCACCACGTCCAGCTACTTTTTTGTATTTTTAGTAGAGACAGGGTTTCACTGTATTAGCCAGGATGGCCTCAATCTTCAGACGTTGTGATCTGCCCACCTCGGCCTTCCAAAGTGCTGGGATTACAGGCATGAGCCACTGTGCCCAGCTGAGGTCAGCTTTTATAGCTGCAAAAATTCAGAGGCAACCATAATGAGAATAGTCATTTTAAAGTCATTAAATATATCATGAAAATAAAAAAAATTTATATTTACTGAAATGGCACTCATGAAATCTTTGGCATGATAAAAGCAGTGAAAGGTATGGCATGCATATCATAATTACACTTCCTTAAAAAAGCACAGTATAGCATGATTTTCTCTACCAAACTGAGAATAGCCATCTATAAGTATGATTACAATTAAGTTTGGCTTTCTAGCAAGTTTTTGTTTTGTGATTTTGGCTTGACAATTAAAAATGTAAATTTGTAAAATAAAAAGGCCGGCTGCAGTGGCTCACGCCTGTAATCCCAGCACTTTCGGAGGCCGAGGCGGGTGGATCACCTGAAGTCGGGAGATGGAGACCATCCCGGCTAACATGGTGAAATCCCGTCTCTACTAAAAATACAAAAAATTAGCTGGGTGTTGTGACACATGCCTGTAATCCCAACTACTTGAAAGGCTGAGGCAGAAGAATCGCTTGAACCTGGGAGGTAAAGGTTGTGATGAGCCGCGATTACACCATTGCACTCCAGCCTAGGCAACAAGAGCGAAACTCCGTCTCAATAAAAAAGGAATAAAGCCAAGTGTAATTGCTCACGCCTATAATCCCAGCACTTTGGGAAGCCAAGGCAGGTGGATCACCTGAGGTCAGGAGTTCGAGACTATCCTAACCAACATGGAGAAACCCCATCTCTACTAAAAATACAAAATTAGCAGGGCGTGGTGGCACACGCCTGTGATCCCAGCTACTCAGGAGGCTGAGCCAGGAGAATTCCTTGAAGCCGGGAGGCAGAGGTTGTAGCGAGCCAAGATTACACCACTGTACTCCAGCCTGGGCAACAGAGTGAAACTCCGTCTCAAAAAATATACAAAATAATAATAAAATAAAAAGATTAACACTGACTTCAAAAAGTTAAACCTCCACAAGGAATTTAAAAATATTAAAGGTCACACAAATATTAAAGGTCACTTCAAATGGTGTGACACTGGTGCAAACACAAATACACAGATCAGAAAAGATTGCCCTAAAAACACAAGCAAATATAAACAAGAGTATAATGTGTCACCAAGAAAGCAGAACAAAACAATGAACCAAAGAATTACAGAACAGCTGGCATTGGTATGTGACTGGAGGAGAGAGGGAATGTCAATTTAGACTCCGAATTTATAACCTGGAGTGAAATACATTTGGATACACAATTTAAATACAAAGTTTTAAAAAACCTGTGGAAGACGGTAAGCATCAGACATGATTTTTGGTTTAAAAAATGAGGAAGGTGACAGGGGCTTTAATTTTTATTATTCATTAGTATGAATTCCCTGATGACGAATGAGATCCGAGCCACTACTAAATGCCTTCCCACATTCCTTACAGTTATAGGGCTTTTCACCAGTGTGAATTCTCAGATGTCGAGTAAGGTTTGAGCATTTATTAAAGGCCTTTCCGCATTCATTACATTCATATGGCTTTTCATCCGTATGAATTCTCTGATGCTGGAAAAGTTGTGAGTTCTGAGTAAAGGCCTTCCCACATTCAAGACATTCAAAGGGTTTCTCACCAGCGTGAATTCTCTGATGTTGACGAAGCTGTGAGCTCTGAGTAAAAGCCTTTCCGCATTCCTTACAATCATAGGGTTTCTCACCAGTGTGAATTCTCTGATGATTAGTAAGTGCTGAGCCACTACTAAAGGCTTTGCCACATTCCTTGCACTCATAGGGTTTCTCACCAGTATGAATTCTCTGATGTTGAACAAGCTTTGAGCTCTGGGTAAAGGCTTTGCCACATTCCTTACATTCATAGGGTTTCTCACCTGTATGAATTCGCACATGCTGAAAAAGTTGTGAGCTTTTAGTAAAGGCTTTCCCACATACCTTACATGCATAAGGCTTTTCACCGGTGTGAATTCGCTGATGGTCAATAAGATTTGAGCAATAACTAAAGGCCTTCCCACATTCCTTACATTCATAGGGTTTCTTACCGGTATGGATTCTCTGATGTTGAGAAAGGTATGAGCTACAACTGAAGGCCTTTCCACACTCCTTACATTCAAAGGGTTTTTCGCCAGTATGAATTTTCAGATGCCGAGTAACATGTGAACCACAACTAAAGAATTTCCCACACTCTTTGCATTCATAAGATTTTTCACCAATATGAATTCTCTGATGTTGAATAAATTGTGAGTTCTGACTAAAGGCCTTTCCACATTTCTTACATTCAAAGGGTTTGTCTTCATTATTCATTATTTGCTGGAGAGTAAGGAATGTCTGTCGAATAAATGTGGGCATGTATTCAGGAGTGAATATTTCTTGACTGAAACGCCCATTTGGATATCCCAGTTGTTTTGCAAGGCGGCTTCTATATTCCAAAACATCTCCAAAACTGGAGTACTCAAGGCCATGCTTTGTAAGTCCCATTATCTCCCTCTGGCATAATTCTATTTCATAAACTTCCTTCTTTAGAGATAATAACTTGGTTTCACACATTGATTCCAGATCTGAAAGAAAATAAAATGGTAAATGTTTTTTCCTATTTGTGAAAAGTTAAACTTTTATAATAGAAATGGAAAAATTAAAGAATAGCATCTACTAGGAAATGACACAGGGTTCACAAGGATATCTGTGTTATCTGAAAAAATGGACAAGAAAGACAAATAAATTAGTAAGATAATGCGGGAAGCAGGGGAAGGTAACTATGCAAATAAGTTACTACAATGATACTCAAATACGGATGTGGATCAGAATCACCTGGAAAGGCTGGTAAATATACAATGGTTGGGCTATTTTCCATATTAAAACATGACTAGCCATATATATGATATATGATATACATGTCATATATGATATACCTATATCCATATAAGTATGCATGTGTGTATATACGTATATCATACAATATGTGTAACATGAAGTGGGTCATTTTCTAGCCTCCATTAAAGGTCTCCTGAGAGAAATAAATGCGTACGGGGAAGATTCCTTGGCTCTCAGGTATAATAAAGCCCCACACTGAGCTTCAAAAACACCTGGAATTTCCTGACAGGAGGTCTTTGTTATGCTAATAAGGTAGTTCAAGGTGGGACCTTAGAAAGCTTCAGGGTGGGGTCTGATTGCCTGAAACACTAGCTTGTGATTAGAAGGTTGGGATTTTCAGCTGGCCTGATCTCTGAGGAGAGAGAGGCTAGAGATTGAGTGGCCAGGGATTTAATCAATTGTGCCTGTGTAATAAAACCTCAAAAAAAATGCTGAGCAGTAAACTCAGTGGAGCTTTCTGGTTGGTAAACACATTGATGTGATAGGAGCAGGACAAACTGACTCCAAAGGGAGAGGGCATGGAAACTCTGTCCAGTTTCAGATCTTGCTCAAACATGTATCCTTTATAATAAAACTGTAGCTTTAAATACAGAGCTTTCCTGATTTCTATGAGTCACTCTAACAAATTATTGAACCTGAGACCTTGGAGACCCCTTAATTTATTGCTGTTAGCTGGCTGATCTGCAGGTGGCCTGGGGACTCCCAAGACTTGCAGCTGGCATCTGAAGTGAGGACAGTACTATGGAAGACTATGAGGGCTGCACATTCTGAATAGTGTCACAGGTGAACTGCAGTATGCCCAGTTGGGGTGGAAACAGAATAAGTTCTTTAATAAAGGATACAGTGGATACAATACGAATGTGGTGGCCGGGCATGGTGGCTCACGCCTGTAATCCCAGCACTTTGGGAGGCCGATGCAGGCAGATCACCTGAGGTCAGGAGCTCCAGACTAGCCTGGCCAGCATGGTGAAACTCCGTCTCTACTAAAAATACAAAAATTAGCCGGACGTGGTGGCATGTGCCTGTAATCCCAGCTACTCGGGAGGCTGAGGCAGGAGAACTGCTTGAACCCAGGAGGCGGAGGCTGCAGTGAGCTGAGATCGCGCCACTGCACTACAGCTGGGTGACAGAGTGAGACTCCGTCTCAAAATCAAAAATAAATTGGTAACCGTGGGTTATTCACATGAGGGAATGTCCGGAGCTGCACGCCCCGGCCATAGCGAATAATAATTGAGGATTAAACGCCTGAGCTATATTCATTTCCACCCCACACCTTCTCCCTATCTTTGCCTTTTTTCCCCTGTACTAATACCTCATTAAAGATGGCGCTCGGCCAGGCGCGGTGGCTCAAGCCTGTAATCCCAGCACTTTGGGAGGCCGAGACGGGCGGATCACGAGGTCAGGAGATCGAGACCATCCTGGCTAACAAGGTGAAACCCCATCTCAACTAAAAAATACAAAAAATAACTAGCTGGGCGAGGTGGCGGGCGCCTGTAGTCCCAGCTACTCGGGAGGCTGAGGCAGGAGAATGGCGTAAACCCGGGAGGCGGAGCTTGCAGTGAGCTGAGATCCGGCCACTGCATCCCATCCTGGGCGACAGAGCGAGACTCCCTCTCAAAAAAAAAAAAAAAGATGGCGCTCTTCCTGCTTCTTCTTCACTCACTTTTCCCGTGCCCGGGAAAATTGTTACTTAATAGCGCAAGCGCAACATGACGTCCGACCGGAGAAACCGAAACTAACCTGGCCACGCCCTCCGCAATGAGATCATTTCCGCCTTAGCCCAACCCCTTCCCTTCCAAGTGTATATAAGGCAGTGCATTACCGCCATTAAACGAGACTTGATCAGAGCACTGTCTTGTCTCCATTTCTCGTGTCTCTTGTTCCCCAAATTCCCACCCCCTCCTCCAGGGCCTGCTCTGACTATCCCGCGGGCCGGGATAAGGGATGAGCTAGATGTAAGTCTAATGTATTGAACTAATTTGATGTAAGTGTGTAAGTGGCAGATAGGGAAACTCAGAATATTTTATATGCTGGGGATTTAATGGAAATATTGTTTGCCTTGGAATTTTGAGATGCTGATCTTATGGGAGAGGAGACTTGCTCATGTACCACCACAGTGAATGAGAGAGAAGACAGCTAAAGTTTAAGGAAGATGGAAAGAAATTAAGACACAGTACAACATACTGCCATAGAAAGATAACAGGAACCAGAACCAGATTGATGAGAGCTGGCTGCCAATTCTGATACTTAATTGTTGTGTGCCACAAGCAATTATTTAACCTCTAAGCTACCATTTCTTCACCTGTAAAAGGGCAATAGTCCTTAACTCATGATTACTGGGGGGTTACAGGAAAACGCACATACATGTTTTGGAGTAAAGTGTTCAGGTATTATTATGAAACAATTTCTTACTAAAAATGGGGATATTAGGCAAATTAAATGGTTTGAAGATATCAAAATGAAGCCTATTGGAGTATCTCGAAACAGGAAGAGGGAATTAATTCCAACACAATCTTTTTCCTCCTATCTCTATATGATCTTGCAATAACTTTTTTTGAAACGGAGTCTCACTCTGTCACCAGCCTGGAGTGCAGTGGTGCGATCGCAGCTCACTGCAACCTCTGACTCCAGGGTTCAAGCAATTCCCCTGCCTCAACCTTCCGCGTAGCGGGGACTACAGGCATGCACCACCACGCCCGTCTAATTTTTTGTATTTTAGAAGAGATGGGGTTTCACCATGTTGGCCAGGATGGTCTTGATCTCCTGACCTTGTGATCCACCCACCTCGGCCTCCCAAAGTGCTGGGATTACAGGCGTGAGCCACTGTGCCCGGCAGATCTTGCAGTAACTTTTATCTAGTTAAGCTCCCAAGTAAAGTTTTAAAACTGCCCTCTTCTGTTTTCCACTGCCAATGTCATCTTCCAAAGCAGAATCAACTCTTTATCCAGACCAGTGAAGTAGCCTCCTCAACCAGTCTCCCCACCAAGCTCTCTCACCCTTTAATCTATTCAGGGAATAATATCATTTGGCTTAGGCTTCCACAGCTCAAAGTCCAAACTCCTCACAATCTCCTGCAAAGGCTGAATGCTGTGGTTCCTGCCTGTCTGTCCAAACCCTGACTCACACTCCACTCCTACTTGATCCTGGGGCCCACCAACACAGGCTTTTAGTCTTTCAAACACACCAAGCTTTTCCCCATCAGAGCCTTCACAGGGATTCTTCTCTCTGCCTGGAGTTTTCTTCTTTAGTAAAACATTAAACAAGACCTAGTGGCAAGCCTAGTACTACAATAATTCTGAAGTAGGAATGAGCATAAATATTTCAATATGCCTACAATAACAGTAACATAATATGAACGTATCTGTGATTTCCATTAATGTCAAAGTCACAGGAACGACTACTACTACTACTACTACTATGGTTTGTCCCATACACCATGATAGGAAGAAATGTTATATCTCAATTAGAGGTTATTAAATATAAAGACGTATTTTTGAGCTGGGCACAGTGGCTCATGCCTGCAATCCCAGCACTTCAGGAGGCCAAGGCAGGTGAATCACAAGGTCATGAGTTCAAGACCAGCTTGGCCAATATGGTGAAACCCCATCTCTACTAAAAATACAAAAATTAGCCGGGCACACTGGCAGGCTCCTGTAATCCCAGCTACCCAGACAGCTGAGGCAGGAGAATTGCTTGAACCTCGGGGGTGGAGGTTGCAGTGAGCCGAGATCACACCACTGCACTCAAGCCTGGATGACAGAGTGAGACTGTCTCAAAAAAAAAAAAAAAAAAAAAGAAAAGATGTATTTTTGATTCTCATCCAAATTCATGGACTCCCTGAATTCTACCTAAAGGAATCCAAAGTTAGGAACCCCTAGAGCAAGAATGATCCTTTACAAACATGATCATGTCACTCTGCTAAATCATTCAATGGATTTACATCTCATTTGGAATAAAATTCAAGGTCCACAAGACCCAAAATCATCTACAGGTACATCTAATTCTCACCCTGACCTGCACCCAGCATGCAAACACTCATAAGCCTGCTACTTTCCTGATCTCCTCTTCTACAATTCCCGCTTTGCTCATTCAATTTCAGCCACAATGGTGGCTGCCAAAAAGCTCTGAACTCGAGTACTTGGTTCTTCCTGTTCCCTTTGCCTGAATCTGTCCTAGCAGATATTTATATTACCTGTTCCCTCACTTCATTCAAGTCTTTACTAAAAGAACACCTCATCAGAGGCCTTCTCTAGCCTCTCTTCATAGCACTTATATATCACCCACCACCTGACATTTCATATACACGTGGACATATAATAATATAGAACTACAACATATTAATATATATGTTATTTATACTATACCAATATATTAGTTACATATAGATAAATACAAATGATATATAATTCCAAAAATATATTTATATATTATATAATATTAATGTCAAGCTAATATTGTTTTATGCATATATACTTGACATTTATTTTATTTTCTGCTATGGTTTGAATGTCTCTCCTTCAAAATTCAGCTGTTGCCAATGTGATAGTAGTAAGAGGTGGAGGCCGGACACAGTGGCTCAAGCCTTTAATCCTAGTACTTTGGTAGGCCCAGGTGGGTGGCTCGCTTGAACCCAGGAGTTAGAGACCAGCCTGGACAACAACGCAAAACCCTGTCTCTACAAAAAATAAAAAAATTAGCAGGGCGTGGTGATGTCTGCCTGTGGTCCCAGCTACTCGGGAGGCTGAGGTGGGAGGATCACCCGAGCCCGGGAGGTTGAGGCTGTGGTGAGCCATGATCCTGCCGTTGCACTCCAGCCTGCGTGACAGAGTGAGACTCTGTCTCAAAAAAAAAAAAAAAAATCCAAAAACAAAGAGGTGGGGTCTTTAAGAGATGATCGGGCTTTGAGGATCCATCCCTCAAGAATGGGTTTAAAACGGGTGCTCTTATGAAGGGGCTTGATGGAAGGAGTTGGCTCTCTTGCTCCTAGTGCCTTCTGCCACACGAAGATGCAAGAAGGCCCTCGTCAGATGCCAGTGCCTTGATCTTAGAATTCTTAGCCTCCAGATCTATGAGAAAATAAATTTCTGTTCTTTATATATTACTTAATGTGAGGTATTCTGTTGTAACAGCACAAAATGGACTAAGACATTTTCTCTCTTACCCTCTAGAATGTAGGCTTCAGAAGTGCAGAACTTTAGAATGCCTTCATGAATACTATAGTCCCAGCCCTTGGACCAATGCTTGGTGCATAGTAATGCTCAATAGTACTCTTCTGGTTCTCCTACTTCATCCCAAATCTCTCCTGCTCTGCCACCTCTTCCTGTTTAATATAGGCACACATTCTTTTTTTTTTCTTGGCCCCAACAATATCTCTATACATGGTAACTGCAGTCACTTCCAAGGCTCCACCTATACTTCAATAGGGATTAATTCCACTTCTACATAGTTAGCCTTTGACTTTCTGCTAAACTCTTTATCTCATTTCTCTTTTATACTACTCTACTTTGTGGAAGTCATATATGTATATATTTTAGCACCACTTTTGGACCTTGAGTTCGTAAAGGTAACATAATCAGTAAACTGTAGCACCTGGAAGATTCCCTTACACAAACCAGGAAATTAAAAAAAGTTCGATAAAGGAAACATTGAAGACAGTCTGATAAAACAGGTCACTGACAGGCAGCTATAATGAAGACCAGTACTTGGGCAAGATGTGTGTGTGCGTGTGCGTGTGTGTGTATATTCACCTGTGTGTATACAGATGCAATTCCATCATTTTGGGGAGTGGTAGTAGAAAACACCTGCACAAGTTTAAAAAATGCAGAAGAGGGGCCGGGCGCAGTGGTTCATGCCTGTAATCCCAGCACTTTGGGAGGCTGAGGTGGGTGAATCAGGAGTTTGAGACCAGCCTGGCCAATATGGTGAAACCCCATCTCTACTAAAAATACAAAAATTAGGTGGGCATGGTGGCACGTGCCTGTAGACCCAGCTACTCAGGAGGCTGAGGCAGAAGAATAGCTTGAACCCGAGAGGCAGAGGTTGCAGTGAGCCGAGATCATGCCACTGCACTCCAGCCTGAGCAACAGAGCGAGACTCCGTCTCAAAAAAAAAAAAAAAAAAAAAAATGCAGAAGAGGAAGAAAAAGAATTAGCCAGGCATGGTGGCACATGGCTACGGTCTCAGCTACTTGGAAGGCTGAGGCAGGGAGACTGCCTAAGCCCAGAAGTTTGAGCCTACAATGAGTTATGATCATGTCACTGTACTCCAGCCTGGGTGACAGAGCCAGGCCCTTAAAAAAAAAAACAAAACAAAAAAACAGAGAGAGAGTAAAAGAAGCTAGCAAACAGCTGAATCTAAAATATGGGTAAAAGAGGGTTTTTTTAAGAGGAGAAGTGAAAGGTACCTTCTACTTGAAATTAAGAGGAGAGTTGGAGAGGAGTAGTAGAAAGAGTGGTAAGTGAGGAAAAGGGCGAAACAGGTTACTTAACAACTATGCTAAAAGGACTTAATTTGCTACACTGGCCTAGTTTCTTGATGGGAGCTTCAGAGACAATATCTCAAAGGTGCTGTTTCCTCCTGACCAGCTGAGTTCTGACCTGTCATGCCTTTCTCCTGTCCAGTCATTTCTCACTTACCTGAACACAGGCCTCTTGTAAGCTCTCTGCCAACCATCCAGGGCTCTTTCCCTTGTTCCAATAAGGAGATCACTTGAGGCTTAGGAGTGTAAAGTCCTGCTCACAAGAAAAGATATGGAATATGGTTATGCTGTGGGTAAATGAGATCCAGTCCCTTGATGATCAAGGAAGAGATGCCACTACAGGAACAGCCAAAGAAAGATGAAGACGAAGCCTCAACCACAGCCCACTGGAGTTGCCCATTTCCCATTCTTCCTTTTCATTTCAGCTCAAACCATTTGTTTGGTAATAAAGAATAGAAATTCAGCCAGTAACTTGAGAAGCAGCTGAGAAATTCACTGTGGAAGAAGCAGACATTCCAGAGGAGAACTGGGAATCACTGGTACGGATGCCCTTACCCATTGAAACCAGATTGCTGTAGTTCTCCAACATCACATCTCTGTATAAGTCCCTCTGAACAGGGTCCAGGCAGTCCCACTCCTCCTGAGAGAAGTCTATGGACACATCACTGAACATCACTGATCCCTGAAACAATAAACATACGTCTTACTTGTGTAATTAAAAAAATATATCAGCGACTACTGTGCTTGTACTGTGGGGTAATACAAAATGAGTAGGCCGGGCGCGGTGGCTCAAGCCTGTAATCCCAGCACTTTGGGAGGCTGAGACGGGTGGATCACGAGGTCAGGAGATGGAGACCATCCTGGCTAACACGGTGAAACCCCGTCTCTACTAAAAAAATACAAAAAACTAGCCGGGCGAGGTGGCGGGTGCCTGTAGTCCCAGCTACTCGGGAGGCTGAGGCAGGAGAATGGCGTGAACCCGGGAGGCGGAGCTTGCAGTGAGCTGAGATCCGGCCACTGCACTCCAGCCTGGGCGACAGAGTGAGACTCCGTCTCAAAAAATAAATAAATAAATAAATACAAAATGAGTAATTATATTGGTGTCACTGAGAACCTGTATCTTTAGATCTCAGAAACAGATGCAAGAGTAGGAAGTTTATATTAAATTCCTGACTCTGTCCATTGAAAAGGACTAGAAATGATGACTAATCTAGTAGCAACGAGCATCCCTAGTGTCTAGATTGTGGTTTCTTTTCTTTACTTTTTTTTTTTTTATTTTTTTTTTATTTTTTATTTTTGAGACGGAGTCTCACTCTGTCACCCAGGCTGGAGTGCAGTGGCCGGATCTCAGCTCATTGCAAGCTCCGCCTCCCAGGTTCACGCCATTCTCCTGCCTCAGCCTCCCGAGTAGCTGAGACTATAGGCGCCCGCCACCTCGCCAGGCTATTTTTTTATATTTTTTAGTAGAGACGGGGTTTCACCGTGTTAACCAGGATGGTCTCGATCTCCCGACCTCGTGATCCGCCCGTCTCAGCCTCCCAAAGTGCTGGGATTACAGGCTTGAGCCACCACGCCCGGCCGTTTTTTGTATTTTTTAGTAGAGACGAGGTTTCACCGTGTTAGCCAGGATGGTCTCGATCTCCTGACCTCGTGATCCACCCGTCTCGGCCTCCCAAAGTGCTGGGATTACAGGCTTGAGCCACCGCGCCCAGCCACTTTTTTTTTTTTTTTGAGACAGAATTTTGCTTTTGTCACCCAGGTTAGAGTGTAGTGGCGTGATCTCCGCTCACTGCAACCGCCTCCTGGGTTCAAGTAATTCTCCTGCCTGAGCCTCCTGAGTAGCTGGGATTACAGGCACGTACCACCACACCTGGCTAATTTTTGTATTTTAAGTAAAGACAGGGTTTCACCATGTTGGCCAGGCTGGTCTCAAACTCCTAATCTCAGGTGATCCACCCGCCTCGGCCTCCCAAAGTGCTGGGATTATGGTGTGAGCCACTGCATCCAGCCTAGATTGTGGTTTCTAAGTATCATTTTCAAATAAAAGAAACCAAGGTTCTTTGGGAAAAGAACTAATTTCATGAAATCCACAAGAGCAAATTTTACAAAATGCACAGGATGAGTCTGAACGTCTTGTTATACCAAAAAGCAAGAAAGCAACCAAAAACTGTTAGGATCATGCTGATAAGACTAGAGGCCACCTTGAAGACACTCCCACTGGCCAACACTGTTACAACTCGCATATCAAATTATTATAATTTTTTTTGTAATAGGATTTATAAATTTAGGGTTTGAAAATCTTACAAAATTATCTTAAGCCACATTAAATAATTCTATCTTGACAATGACATTGCAAAACTAATAAAATGAAGATACTAGAGATATTACGTAAAAAGTACAGGGAAATGAGGCACATGTTGGGGGAAATCTAGAGAAAATGTGGTATTTGGGTATTTAGATTTTTTTTTTTTTTTTTTTTTGAGACGGAGTCTCGCTCTGTCGCCCAGGCTGGAGTGCAGTGGCCGGATCTCAGCTCACTGCAAGCTCCGCCTCCCGGGTGTACGCCATTTTCCTGCCTCAGCTTCCCAAGTAGCTGGGACTATAGGCGCCCGCCACCTCGCCCGGCTAGTTTTTTTGTATTTTTTAGTAGAGATGGGGTTTCACTGTGTTAGCCAAGATGGTCTCGATCTCCTGACCTCGCAATCCGCCCATCTCGGCCTCCCAAAGTGCTGGGATTACAGGCTTGAGCCACCGCGCCCGGCCTAGACGTTTTATTTGTATTTTTGTTTCATTAGCAACTAATGCTTGAGGCATCTATTTAATAAAATAGATGTGGGCCGGGCGCAGTGGCTCACGCCTCTAATCCCAGCACTTTGGGAGGCCGAGGTGGGCGGATCACCTGAGGTCGGGAGTTGGAGACCAGCCTGACCAACATGGAGAAATCCCGTCTTTACTAAAAATACACAATTAGCCGGGCATGGTGGCGCATGCCTGTAATCCCAGCTGCTTGGGAGGCTGAGGTAGGAGAATCGCTTGAACCTGGGAGGCAGAGGTTGTGGTGAGCAGAGATCGCACCACTGCACTCCAGCCTGGGCGACAAAAATGAAACTCCATCTCAAAAAAATAAATAAATAAAATAAAAAAATAATAAAATAGACGTGTATTTTCTTTAATAAAAAGAAAGCTTCTTCCCCTCCTCAATGTAGAAATTGGAACAAAGATATGCCAAACCCCTATTAAGACATTTCCCATGGGATTAAAAAATCCCAGGCCAGGCGCGGTGGCTCACGCTTATAATCCCAGCACTTTGGGAGGTCAACACGGGGGGATCACGAGGTCAGGAGTTCGAGACCAGTTTGACCAACATGGTGAAACCCCGTCTCAACTAAAAATACAAAAATTAGCCAGGCATGGTGGCGTGAGCTTGTAGTCCCAGCTACTCAGGAGTCTGAGACAGGAGAATCGCTTGAACCTGGGAGACGGAGGTTTCAGTTATCCAAGATTGCACCACTGCACTCCAGCCTGGGCAAGAAAGCGAGACTCTATATCAAAAAAAATGAAGTGGTGTAATCCCAGCACTTTGGGAGGCTGAGGCGGGCGGATCATGAGGTCAGGAGATCAAGACCATACTGGCTAACATGGTGAAATCTCGTCTCTACTAAAAATACAAAAAACTTAGCCGGGCGGAGTGGCAGGCCTGTAATCCCAGCACTTTGGGAAGCCAAGGCAGGTGGATCATGAGGTTAGGAGTTCAAGACCAGTTTGGCCAACATGATGAAACCCCATCTCTACTCAAACTACAAAAAAATTAGCTGGGCATGGTGGCGGGCGCCTGTAATTCCAGCTACTCGGTAGGCTGAGGCAGAGAATTGCTTGAACCTGGGAAGTGGAGGCTGCAGTGAGCTGAGATTGTGCCACTGCACTCCAGCCTGGGCAACAGAGCTAGACTCTGTCTCAAAAAAAAGAAAAGAAAAAGAAAAAAAAATTTTTGAGGAAAAAAGGAAAATGTCTTACTTATACAAAAAATACTAATTAGTTTTGTCAATAATTTATCTGACCAAAACGAAAATAGTTAATGTTTATCAAATAAGTAAAAAGTCAGTAATAATAGTGTTACAACTTCTGAAAAAATTCATAAAATTGAAAAACAGAGAAAAATTTCTCAGGCCATCAATTTTTCTCCCTTATTAAGGGAGAAAAAAGGTCTTCATGATTCTGCTAAAAGACCTCACCTAACAATGCAAGGGGTAGTCAGGGAATGTCTTAAATCTCTGTCCCATTGATGAATCATCCCCTTTTGCTTGTCCTGTGCAGGAAGACTATTTATGGTCACGTTACACAGCAGCTACATGACCTGGTATAACACAACTATAATCAGTTTGCTTGTGCCTGACGCAAAAGTTCTCAACTCTTGGTCTGTGTTATGTCCAAAGCTATCCTTCATCTAATACATTCTAAACTACCCCCATGTGATCTTAGAGCATCAATCAAAGCTACAAAAAAGATATATGTAAAGTTATTTTATTTTTATTTTTTTTAGATGTCGCCCAGGCTGGAGTACAGTGGCGTGATCTTGGCTCACTGCAATCTCTGCCTCCCAGGTTCAAGGATTCTCCTGCCTCAGCCTTCTGAGTAGCTGGGACTACAGGAATGTGCCACCATGCCTGGCTTATTTTTTGTGTTTTAGTAGAGATGGGGTTTCACCATGTTGGCCAGCCTAGTCTCTAACTCCTGACCTCAGGTGATCTGCTCGCCTCCACTTCCCAAAGTGCTGAGATTACAGGCGTGAGCCACTGCGCCTGGCCTTTTACAAATTCTTTAATAATTATTTTTCTGGTGGTAGAATTTTCTACAATATAGATATTACTGGATAAGACTTAAAAGGTTATTCTGTGCTCTGATGGTGTGATCTAAATGACTTATGCATTGGCTGAATGCATTGGCTGAACCATTGTAAACATCCATTATCACTATCCTTAATTCTGAGATAAAGAAAACTTGATGATTCACAGAAATTCCTTACAATCCAAACTTCCTTGTCAACCTAAAATTGGACTTCTCTCCAGGATGTTCTCACAGAGTTGCAGAGATCTGTATCAGCCACCAACCCCATGATCCCCAAAGCTGCCTAAACCAGATTTTGCAACAATCCAACATTTGGAACTACCAGCACCACATTTCATCCTATCTTACTGGAGAATGCTACTCTGTACAGATAATCTTGGCTTTTCTATATTCCCATCTAAGTAACTCACACCTTCAACTCATCAAATAATGGTCCAGACAGGGTAAGTTCATTTTACAAATCTATTCTTGCTTCCTTGAGATACTTCATCCCCTATCATAGTCCTTGGGAAAGAGTTGAAAAAAAAAGATGCATAGGTATTTACGGAATGAAAATATTAATGCTGGTTGATTTATAAAAATAAAAGGGATACTTAGACATGGTATAGAATTATCTAGCTAAGAAGAAATGGGGATCAGGATTCTGAAGGGGAACTCTGTTAGCCAGAAATGTCAGGATAAGGAAAGCAATTGCTCATGTCTTTTTTTAAAAAAAGAAACCAAATGTCAGGAAGGGAAGAAAAAGCATCAACTCACCTCAGCCATGGCTTCCAGTACTGCAGACGGTTAGTCTTTCTTGCGGCTGTTCTCCTGAAAAAGGATAGTGTTCTGAGATTGCGTGACTGGGGAAGTAAAACCCTCTAGAAATCACCCCAGAGGCCAGATAAAACTACCTCCATACTTCTTGGTCTTAAGATATAACTCTAGTTAGTGGGAATATGGAACAAATCCTACTCCTTCCTTAACCCTATAAACCCCAGGCTTTAGCTGCAGCAAGATGGATCCTGGGTAACTGGATCCAAGGGAAGACAAGGACCCAGATTCATTCTCCCTCATGCAAACAACCTAAGTTCCTGCTTTAGCCAAGGGATTCGGGCCAGACCTTGTCCCACCTCAGTGATGTTGCTCTGAATCCACGATTGAGCTACTATGGCCTGCCCTGAGCTACTGACCTACTATGACCCAAGACTGAGCTATCATGACCTCCTTTGCAGCCCTCAGGTCCCCAAACTAGACTCATACAAATGGTGCCTTTTGGCCAGGAACACAGTGCACTCAGATCAGAAAGACCAAAGACTTCCCTAATCAAGTCTTTTTGTTTCTCAACCCTAAAAAAGTCAACTTCCCTCACCACATGCACACACACAACACCCGCATCCACCCCTAAACACAAAGGGATGCAGGGGGTACTAAGTCTTCTAGCTCTGTTTTATTTAAATATATATATATGCTTGTAATACCAGCTACTTGGAAGGCTGAGGCACAAGAATCCCTTGAACCCGGGAGGCAGAGGGTGCAGTGAGCCGAGATTGTGCCATTGCACTCCAACTTGGGTGACAGAGTAAGACTCTGACTCAAAAAAAAAAAAAAAAAAAAGGCTGGGCCCAGTGGCTCACACCCGTAATCTCAGCACTTTGGGAGGCTGAGGCAGGTGGATCACCTGAGGTCAGGAGTTAAAGACCAGCCTGACCAACATGGAGAAACCTGTTTCTACTAAAAAAAAAAAAAATTAGCCAGGCATGGTGGCACATGCCTGTTATCCCAGCTACTTGGGAGGCTGAGGCAGGAGAATTGCTTGGAGGTTGCAATGAGCCGAGATTGTGCCACTGCACTCCAGCCTGGGCAACAAGAACGAAACTCTGTCTCAAAAAAAATAATAATAATAAATTCAATCTTTTGCTGTTGCCAAAAGGTGAGGCTGTTTTTAAAAATATCTGTGCTCAAAGGACTCCTTTTAAGAGTCTCCTGAAAGGTGATCCCATTAGCCAACGAATGAAAACTTGCACAACAATAAACAGAATACTTCTGCCACTCCACCAGACTATGATAGTCTTTAACAGATATCAGTCAATTGAAATAGCTGTGAAATGCTCTAAGTCTACAATAATATGTAAGAAAAAAATTGTTTTAAAGTACACAAAAAAGGTAGGTGGATAAAAGTGTTTTTTTTTACATACAATAATTAGAGAGTGATTATCTATGTGTTTTTTTTTCATCCTGTTTTTTATAGTTCCAGTATTTGCGGCTTGTTTCCATCTATACAAGATAAAAAGAATAAACTCAGGAAGTTTGAAAAAGCCAGTTAGTCCCAGAAAAAGGAAAAACTGTACCAAAGTCAGAGGACCCATCACAACAGTGGCCTCACACAATATCCCAAGATAGGAGATTCACTGCAGTTAGTACACATACACAAAACCAAGGATAGAAATGGGATACAATAAAATAACAAATTAGCCAAATGTTCCAAAAGAGAGCTTAAAGCTTATGGCATACTGTGGGCGGCAAGCCAACCAGGTGTTAAGGCAAGAGACCTAGGGTACAAGCTGTTTTAGTATAATACACAAAATATATAGAATAAAAATAGTTGTACCAAAAATAAATTATAATTATATATAAATATTATTAATCATTAGTTTGTAGCATTACTCTTTATTCCAATAATAATCTTTGCGCTACAATTATAACCTATAAAAACCCAGGTCATACAGAGATAGAAACTAAAGGAACACGGTACAGAGATAAAAACTAAAGGGACACGGTAAAAAATGGCCCAAACAAAATCGTGAGCCCTCTGTTATGCCCAGACAGGGCCACTAGAGGGCTTCTTGGTCTAGCGGCAGCACCAGTGCCTGGGTAGGCACCCGTTACTTAACAGACTGGGAAAACGAGTCCCCCTTTCTCCGGAGGAGTTAAAACACACTGCTCTACCACCTCTCGTAAAAGGCCTGACATCAGTCAGGCCCACCCACAGCCATCCAGAGGCCTAACCGTCTCCCTGTGATGCTGTGCTTCAGCAGTCACGCCCATGGTCTGCTTTCATGTTCTGCCCTGTACACCTGGCTCCGCCCTCTAAATAACAGTAACGAAATTAGTAAAAGTACTAAAGTCTTTAAAATACATTAAAAAAAATAATGATGTAAACTGTCCCCTCTCTCTCTCTGCCTCGGCGACCAAATAGGGAAGGGCCCCCTGTCCGGTGCACACATGACTCGCGTGACCTTACCTATCATTGGAGATTACTCTCACTCCATACCCTGCCCCTTTGCCTTATACACAATAAATAACAGCGTGACCAGGCATTCGGGGCCGCTACCAGTCTCCGTGTCTTGGTGGTAGCTGTTCCCCAGGCTCAGCTGTCTTTTGTTCTCTTTGTCTTGTGTCTTTATTTCTACAATCTCTCGTCTCCACACACAAAGAGAAAAACCCACAGGCCCTGTAGGGCTGGACCCTACACATACTCAACCTATTATCACCTAGGAAGTAAACATTCTCTTAACAATATTAAACCCCTAATAATTACATAGTGATATTAATAAGGGAGATTTAAGTTTTTTTAAAATGCCTGGCTGGGTACAGCGGCTCATGCCTGTAATCCCAGCACTTTGGGAGGCTGAGGAGGGAAGATCATGACGTCAACAGGTCAAGACCATCCTGGCCAACGTGGTGAAACTCTGCCTCTACTAAAAATACAAAAATTAGCTGGGTGTGGTGGCGGGTGCCTGTAATCCCAGCTACTTGGGAGGTTGAGGTAGGAGAATCAGGAGGCCAAGGTTGCAGTGCACTGAGATCATGCCACTACACTCCAGCCTGGCAACAGAGCAAGACTACATCTCAAGAAAAGAATAAATAAATAAGATTTTAAAATACCACTAGCCCAGGTCAATGTATCTTAATAACAGGGGGATGAGCTGTAGTGAAACTGCAGACCATGCAAAAATTTAAAGCACATATCTTGTCCAATAAATGAACTGACTTACAAAAATTAAAATCTATATTAAAAATAGAAACTTACATGTCTGATGAAGTATAAAAAGAGACTCAGTCTCATGATCAACAGCTTAGGAAACTTAAATGCACATTACTAAGTGAAAGAAGCCAATTCAAAAGACTACATACTGTATGATTACAACATTCTGGAAAAGGCAAAACTATGGAGACAATAAAAAATTAGGAGCTGACAGGGAGGGAGGATCAGTCAGGGCAGAGGCCTTTTAGAGCAATGGAATTAATATGCATGACATCATAATGGAGATACATGTCATTATACATTTGTCCAAACCCATGGATGTATAACACCAGGAGTGAACCCTAATGTAAACTATAGACTCAGTGATAATGATGTGTCCACATGGGTTCATGAGTTGTAATAAATGTACCACTCTGATGGGGAACGTTGATGATGGGGGAGACCATACATGTGCGGGTGAAAGAGGCATATGGGAAATCTCTGTACCTTCTGCTCAATTTTACTGTGAATCTGGAAGCACCCTAAAAAATAAAGCATATTAAAACAAATAACAACAAAAAAGTAAGTTCTGTCACATGCTACATGTTTGAACCCTGAGGACATTATGCTAAGTCAGGGATTTAAGCAATGTATTTAAAATAACTGGTGGCTCAAAGAATAAATTGCAATGGAAGTTAAAAATATTTTATCAGGTAAGGGGATCGAGACCATCCCGGCCAACACGGTGAAACCCCATCTCTACTAAAATACAAAAAAAACAAATTAGCTGGGCGTGGTGGTGAGCATCCGTAGTCCCAGCTACTTGGGAGGCTGAGGCAGGAGAATCACTTGAACCCAGGAGGCAGAGGCTGCAGTGAGCTGAGATCGTGCCATTGCACTCCATCCTGGTGAGAGAGCAAGACTCCTTTGCAAAAAAAAAAAAAAAAAAATTGGCTGGGTGTGGTGGCTCACGCCTGTAATCACAGCACTTTGGGAGGCCGAGGCAGGTGGATCACAAGGTCAAGGAGATCGAGACCCTATCTGTACTAAAAATACAAAAAATTAGCTGGTGGTGTGGTGGTCGCCTGTAGTCCCAGCTACTTGAGAGGCTGAGGCAGGAGAATGACGTGAACCTGGGAGGCGGAGTTTGCAGCGAGCTGAGATCGCACCACTGCATTCCAGACTGGGAGAGAGAGTGAGACTCCGTCTCAAAAAAAAAAAAAAAAAAAAATGTAAACTGAATGATAATAAAAAATAACACATCAAGGTAATTTATCAAAGCATTTAACTAATTCATTATTATATTGTATCCCATTACTACTTGGATTATTGTGTGTGTCTACTGACTAACTGCAGTGAATCCTCTTTCTATCTTGAGGTATTGTGATTAGAAAGAAGCCAGTCACAAAAAGACAAATACTTTTTTTTTTTTTTTTTTTTTGAGACGGAGTCTCGCTCTGTCACCCAGGCTGGAGTGCAGTGGCCGGATCTCAGCTCAGCTCACTGCAAGCTCCGCCTCCCGGGTTCACGCCATTCTCCTGCCTCAGCCTCCCGAGTAGCTGGGACTACAGGCGCCTGCCACCTCGCCCGGCTAAGTTTTTGTATTTTTAGTAGAGACGGGGTTTCACTGTGTTACCCAGGATGGTCTCGATCTCCTGACCTCGTGATCCGCCCGTCTCGGCCTCCCAAAGTGCTGGGATTACAGGCTTGAGCCACCGCGCCCGGCCAAAAAGACAAATACTATTATATATGATTCCACTTACAGAGGTATCTAAGGTAGTCAAACTCATAGAAACAGAAACTAGAACGGTGGCTGCCAGGGGCTGGGGAAAGAGGGAAATGGGACATTGTAGCTTAATAGTTA